TGCTTTGACCATAGGGGGTAATCTCATCTACATAAGAAGTCACTGACACTGCAAAGTTATACAATGTTAAGACCGGCAAATCTTCTTTAATAGCAAACACAACTGTTGCAGGTGGGGAGGGTGGTTAGAAATAACAAAAATCTGAATTTAGTGTTGTAAAACATTGCTCTCTATCACGTATACCACATGTAATATTGTATATATATATATATATATATATATATATATATATATATATATATACATATATATATATATATATATATATATATATATATATATATATATATATATATATTTATATATATATATATATATATATATATATATATATATATATATATATATATATATATATATATATATATGTATTTATGTGTATATATATATATATACATAACATATATATTTATATATATATATATATATATATATATATATATATATATATATATATATATATATATATATATATATATATATATAACAAAAATCTGTAAAACATCCTTATTCTGTAAAACATCCTTATTCCTTCGCGATATATATATTGAATGCACTACTCTTTATTGTTTATATTATGAGTGAGGTAAAATTGAACTCTAAACCCTTGGCCAATCAAACTTGATATAAACACTCTCTCCTCTCACATCAACACGTGGCAGGCCCCACGTGACAGGTGAACCAATTACCTTTAGAGTAAAATTTGTTGACATTCTGGAAGGGGAGAGCTGATATTTTGAACGAGAGATGTTTTGAAGCAGGGTTGTTACGTGCCGCGGCACGGGGGCCTCATGCGGCCAACTTGGTCATTGTTTGTTGTTGTTTTTTTCAGGGTTGTTAAGTCTTGCGGCACGGGGGCCTCATGCGGTCAACCCGGTCATATATTTTGAAGGGTTCTTAAGTCTTGCGGCATGGGGGTCTCATGCGGTCCATTTTGCCATATTTTTTCAGGGTTGTTACGTGCCGCGGCACGGGGGCCTCATGCGGCCCATTTGGTCATATGTTTTGAAGGGTTGTTAAGTCGTGCGGCACGGGGGCCTCATGCGGCCAACCCGGTCATATTTTTCAGGGCTGTTACGTGCCGTGGTACTAAGGCCTTATGCGTCCCACGTAGTTATAATTTTGTTTCATTTTTTTTTAATGTTTAACTAGAGATGTTTTGAAGTGGGACTGTTACGCCCAACGGCACGTTGTCAACATACTTGGTTTTATTTTAAAGTGTTCTGTGCTCAGCGAAGTGTTATATATCTATATTAGATTCCATTCCAATTGTTGCTTGCATTGTTGTAGCTAGAGAAGGGTACAGTGTTATGTCAGGTCGACCTAGGCCGACTTAAATTTCTTCTAGATAAATAAATATATAATTACTGCGAATTCGATAGTTCGCCCCCGGACGCAGAAATGTATAACCACGCCGAGGTTTTTTTAGGTGTATCTACATATTGTCTAAACAAAGACAAAATATCTTCAACTCGAGAACATCCCTGTAGTTGTCCTACGACTCACCCACTCTCCAAATGTCGGATCTGGTGGTAGCCATGTGGTAACACTTCCAAGAAAACCACTCCGACGTCTCTCTCCGTTTGGGAGTGTCGATAACTTTGCACTCCGGAGTGCAGGGGTTCAGCTCCTGTTTACAAGCCTCCGTTCCTGTTGTTCCTGGTAACTTGGGGAGTTTGTGTACACTTCAGATTCACGTGCATGCGCGCGTCTGTTACCCCCCGACGCTATTTATAGCAGGAAGGTAAGCACGGGCCGTTGTGTGAGTCGGACGTATTTATTCGTGTCACCCTTCAGATGGAGGGGCTTTTGTTTACTGTAAGACTTCAACGATACAGGAGAGATGTTTAGGAAGCTGACACAGTAAATACCACGGGTGGCGTGCACACGTGAGCAGCTGGGTGATACGATTTCTGACGAGCACGTAAGTGGGTGAGGTTCGAACACCAGTCGGGTCTGGTCGGGTCTGCTCTACCTTCAATGTTAAGACGTGCTTCACCGTAAATTATAAGGTGTCTTCACCAATGTTAAGTTGTGCTTAACAGTACGTTGTAAGGTGTACCCCTCCACCAATGTTAAGACGTGCTTCACATTACGTTGTAACGTGCGCCCCTTCACCAATGTTAAGATGTGCTTCACAGTACGTTGTAAGGTGCTCCACCAGATTAAGTTGTGCTCCACTATACATCATATTAAGATATGCTCTATCATTAAGACTTTTGGCAGTAGAATATTAGTGTACACTAGTGAAACAAAGTTCCCCTGATATACCGAACTCACGACGTTTGGAATTAGCCGTCATGCGTTCTTACGCCTTCCTCTTTCCAACAGTTTGACCACAAGAATACGGCTCTTGATAACTAAAATAAATGGAAATCAGCCAGCCATTGGTAAACCATTTTATTTTCATAATTAGTCGATCAATCTAATTAAAATATGCGTCTTTGTAACAAAATAGTTGCACAAATAATAAGGTACAAAAGTTTTTAATGTATAACCAGACGGTGTATAATTAAAACATATATATATATATATATATATATATATATATATATATATATATATATATATATATATATATATATATATATATAAAGATAATTATTGACATGTTGCTACAGTATTTAAACAAACAAAGACATACATGAATAAGTCGGCCGATAGTTAAAAAAAGCTAATGCTACAGGGTTTGATATCATATAATTACTTTAGCCGGTAAGGTCTCGATGGGTACTTAAGTTGTTTTTTTTATTTGCATGTGGATAAAATCGTATTGCCAGATAAATTTTCTCGTCTCGTGTCTCTAAATATTTTGACACTTGATAAATGACGGTCTAGTGGCATCAAAATTTAGATTATTTCTGACACAAGTTGAAGTGCTCTAAAAATAAACTTTGACATTTTTACCCAATAAAAGTGCGGATATCTATTTTAAAAATCTGAAAACAAATACAATTTTTAATGTTAGAAAAATAATGTCATAGCTTCTATTTTTGAACTCAATTATAATTTTCTAAAAACTAGTCAATTTTATATTTTCAAAAATACACTACATCAAAACAAAACAAATAAAAAAGAACTCCTCAACATGGAACTGCAATGCTTGACCTACTTTTAAGTAGCAACTGTTGCATGCCAGTCTGGAACTCACAGACTCAGGTGTGAAGGTATCGAATGTACCCACCTGTATCAGGTAAACAAATGCCATAACCCCTTCACGGACAGGTTTACTTCCACCAATAGAGTGAGTGAGTGAGTGTGTGTGTGTGTGTGTGTTAGTCTGTGAGTGTGCCTGTCTGTGCCTGCGTGCGTGCGTGTGTGTGAGTGTCTTTGTATGTGTGTATGTGTGTTTGAGTCTGTGAGTGTGCCTGTGTGTGTGTGTGCGTGCGTGTGTGTGTCTGTGTGTGTCTGTGTGTTTGTCTGTGTGTGTGAGTTGGGAGACCAAGGCGGATGTTCAAATTACATCGGGAGCGAACAGGAAAAAATAGGAAGTGACGTCACATAAAAAAATGGAGATTCACAAGGATAAAAGTAAAAAAATATAATTGAATAGAATACAAGACTAGAACTCTACAACTCCTAGTAGACTTTAACTACATCGTTGGTTCAATGAAAGTAGATGCTAGATAAATACTTTAGCACGCACATACATACATATATACATACGTATTCACACATACACTTACACAAACATATATACACATTTATACAGTTACATATACACACAGATATAGACATACAAGTACACAAATATTGTAAAATGAAAGCAGATACTACATATACACATACAAACAGACATACACATACAAGCACATATACACACATACATTTGAATCGTATAGCTACAGATCACTAGAAAGACACACACCAGACATCGCACATATTCAATGGTAATTACAAATTTTGTAAAACGCCGCCTGATTTATTAGGGAAAACAAAATTTTAACTCAAATAAACTATAGCAAAGGTTCAAGCACCGCCTGTTATTTAGCAAAATCAATAAAGAAACCGCACCTGTAATATATGCATTAAACAAATATGCTTTTATGCTAAGATTCGATTTTCATAAAATACAATGTTTATACCAAATAATAAGAACGGCTTGATTTTTTTAAACACTTCTAGTGAATTAATGGCCAGAGAGTTGGAGACCTTTGAACTACAGTTATTGCCAGCGAAACTTAATAAATTTAACTATGTAAACATGGAACTATAGTTTTTATCTACCGTTAACATTTCGTAACAAATTATATTATGTAAAAAAAAAGTAGAACAGTATTGAATTCATGGAACATTCGTGGTAATTAAAGATTGAATTAATGAGTTAAATATGATTGCACTTCGGTTTATGTACAGGTTAAGTATAAAAAAATCTAATTTACAATATTTTTTAAAGTTACATTGCCAATAGATAATTTTAATGATATTAATTAAACAAAGTCTCATTCTTGACGATATCCACTAGCGAGGTGTGGTTCTTATCAAAACTCCAGCAGGACAGTATACTATGGTATCGGTGTTTGTTTTTTTAATCTGCAGGTATCGCTGTTAAGGGAAGGATTTAAGATAGAGTGAGGGATTTGCTCAAGATTAGGATCTACATTAGGTTTAAGTTGGACTTAAGGTTCGATTTTAAAAACAAAGTTTAAATTAAAAAGCAGAGTAAGTTCTAGAGTTAGAGTCTGTGATAAGGGCTAGGGTTAGATCAGTGGCGTAGCGAGGTCGGGTGTCACCCGGTGCGGCACTTAATGGTGTCACCCCTTCCCCCAGAGGCGTAGCGACTCTTCCCGGGGACAAACTTTCAATTTTCGATTTGCACCCCCCCCTCAAACTTTCGATTTGCACCCCGCCCCTCGAACTTTCGATTTACACCCCCCCCCCCTCAAATTTTTCTATATATATTTTACTATTTTTTGCCTTGGTGTCACCCCCCTAAATGGTGTCACCCGGTTCGGTCCGCACCCCCCCGCCCCCCCCCCCCCACTCGATACGCTTCTGGGTTAGATACAGAGTTGGGTTACAGAAGCGATACCAACACACACACAAAAGATACCATCGAACCCGTCCTGCCCAAGTTTTAACAAGCCCAGTCGTTGTTTCCCCACCCCCCGTGTCCATCGTCATCACTTTCAGCCGTACGTCAACCCCCCGGGGCTGGCATCAAAAGGTGTCGCTCCTGCTCCGGACGATCCGTTTCTTGAAGGCCTTCTTCATGTTGTACAGGCGGGACTTCTTCTCCAGCCCGGCCACGTTGTCCGGGGTGGGCGTGGTCAAGCTCTTGACCAGCTGTCTCTTGATGAGGACCAAAAGCTCCTCCATGGCCTCGTTGACGCCGTCTTGACCCTGGGGGTGAGAATAGCGTGGTGGGGGGGGGGGCATAAGAATGATTACAATAATTATAAAACCAAGAAAATGTGTTATGCGCATGCGCAAACTGACCTCAGCCACAGAGATCTGGAACCTCGGACAGTCCATCTCCCCAGCCAGGTTGTCACACTCGTCTTCCGTCACAGCACGCGCCGTCAGCAGGTCGTGTTTGTTGGAGACCAGCACCACTGGCATGTCCGCCCCACGGAGTTGGAACAAAACCTCCTGGGAAGGACAGGATTTTTTTTTTACAATAGAAACTTTTTTTGTTGTTGTTTTCTATAGAGAAAATAAACATCCAATGTTCTGATATGTTTCTTTTGTTGTTGGCTTTAATACTAATGATTAAATATGTGCAATGTTTTATGTATTCTTAATGAAGATTCCAAGACGATTTGTGTGTCTATGGCAATAAAGGTGTTAGAATCATTCTATAGGTTAAAGGTGAAAACATATGTAGACTAAAGGTGTTAGACAAATACAGACTAAATTGTAGACACCTACAGATTAAAGGTGTTAGAGACATACAGACTTAAGGTGTTAGACACCTACAGACTAAAGATGATAGACACCTACAGACTAAAGGTGTTAGACAGAGATTAATTGTGTTAGACACCTACAGACTAAAGGTGTTAGACAGAGATTAATTGTGTTAGACACCTACAGACTAAAGGTGTTAGACACCTACAGACTAAAGGTGTTAAACAACTACAGACTAAAGGTGTTAGACAGAGACCTAAAGTATTAGACAGAGACTAAAGTTGTTAGACACCACAGACTGTTACTCACATACAGAGACTAAAGGTGTTAGACACCAACCGACGACTCACCTTCAGCTTGCAGGCGTCCTGGTAACTATGGCGACTGGTGACAGAGTACATGAGGATAAAACCGTCCGCCCATCTGACGTGTTTCTCCAGCGTCTCACGGGGCATCTGTGGCAAGACAGAGACACATTTATACAAGACAGAGACACGATTTTAATAGAGACAGAGACACGATTTTACAAGACAGAGACATGATTTTAACAGAGACAGAGACACGTTTTTAAAAACACAGAGACACGTTTTTTACAAAACAGAGACACGATTTTACAAGACACAGACACGATTTTACAAAACAGAGACACGATTTTAACAGAGACAGAGACACGTTTTTACAAAAGACAGAGACACGATTTCACAAGACAGATACGATTTTACAAGACAGAGACACGTTTTTAAAAACACAGAGACACGTTTTTACAAAAGACAGAGACACGATTTTACAAGACAGAGACACAATTTCACAAGACAGAGACACATTTTTACAAGACAGAGACACGTTTTTACATGACATAGACACGATTTCACAAGACAGACACAGCGACACGTTTTCACAAGACAGAGACACGTTTTTACAAGACAGAGACACGTTTTCACAAGACAGAGACACGTTTTTACAAGACAGAGACACGTTTTTACAAGAAAAAGAGTGCTTTTTTACAAGACAGAGACACGTTTCACAAGACAGAGACACGTTTTTACAAGACAGACACTTTTTAAAAGAGACAGAGACACGTTTTTACAAGACAGAGACACGATTTTACAAGACAGAGACACGTTTTTATAAGACAGAGACACGTTTTCACAAGACAGAGACACGATTTTACAAGACAGAAACACTATTTTACAAGACAGAGACACGTTTTTACATGACAAAGACACGTTTTTACAAGGCAAAGATATTTTTACAAGACAGAGACACGTTTTTACATGACATAGACACGATTTCACAAGACAGACACAGAGACACGTTTTCACAAGACAGAGACACGTTTTCACAAGACAAAGACACGTTTTTACAAGACACAGACATGTATGACAAATTTAAGACAGAAACATTTTGTTATTAAATGGCATCTTAAGTGTCTTTTAGTATCAAAGATAAAAGCAAATGCTTTTATTGTGTTTATTAATTAATGAAGAAAATGTAATTACCATTGAATCAAATTAATAATCAATCAAATTCCATGATGCAGTTTTGTTCTACAAGTTTGACATTTTTTATTTCATTTTTGATTGCAGAGTTTGTTTGTTTTTATTATTATTTTTTTCAAACTTTTATTTTCATCTAAAACAATCAACATCAAACGTGTGTGTGAAAGCGATTGTGTATGGAAACATATACACATAATAGAATAGTCAGAAACATAGTTATTTTACATAGATTTCATCACATTTTGTACAATTTAAAAAAATACAAGAAGAAAAGGAAAAACGAACAAACGAATGGTAGATGATGTTGGGGTGGGTGGGGGAGGGGGGGGGGGGAGGGGCAATGTAGGATCGCTGCAGCAGGTACAATGGTCATGGGGGTATCAGGGTAAAGGGTCATGGGGGCGGTGGCTGACGAAGCGGGAAGGATTGAGCATCTTACAGTAAATGAGGGTGACGGGTGAATAATATTTGTAACTTATGTAGAAAAAGGAAACGAAGGCTGGTTGAAAAATATACTGTTCACACGATGCGTGCTCTCACCATATGTACAAACAGTACAGTAGTCACAAACACACAAAAAAAATTGTTTGTTTTACACAGCTTTCATTACATTTGTACAATAGCGGATTACAAAAAATAAATCAATAAATGGATATTTGAAACTGATGTTGGGGGTGGGTGGTGAGGTCGTTGGAGCAGTTGGGGGGAGGTGTGGTTATCATGAATTGGGGTCATGTTGGGAAGGGGGGGGGGTTGGAGGTGTCTGACGAGATAAGGAGAGAGTGTCTGTGTGAGTTTAAGGCAGAGTTTTATAAAATAAACTACTTTTTTTGTGCCTCAGATATGTAATTTACAGCGATAATTGTGTGTGTTCGCTTTAGTATTACAGTTTTCATCACCGGCTTGTGAGAACTGATACAGATTTACAATAGTAATATTTCTTTCTTACTTGTAGCCTACTTTCATTCATTTAAGATGGTTTACTTATACATAGATCTAGTACAAAACGTCTAAATATTTAAAAATAAATAAAAATAAAATATCCAACCTGAAAATGCAAATGTGTAATTAAATGATGATTTTTTTATTTTTTTTAACAATAAAAGTTGACCTACTGTAAAGAATAGCATATCAATTTAGCCTTTTTTTTTATTTTATTTATTTAGAAAAAATATTTAATGTGACTATTGGGTTTAATCAATTTATCAAGTTAAATTATAATACAATATACTTTGTAATATTATATTCTACACTCTTTCTAAATTTAATAAAATAATTTCGTTAGTTATAATAATGAAGATTTAATTTTTCCCCTGTTATTTCTGAACGTTTCTGTATTGTTTATTTCTGAAAACAAAATTAACGGTTACTTCCCTTTGATTTAAAAAATGTAGAAATAAATAGGAAACTATTATAGTAAACGACTTATTTTACTGGCACATGCGAAACTAGAGTTTCTTTTCTTCTTCATCATTCGAAATTTTTAAATGTTGAAAGGAATTCCATCCAACACAGTGAAGTATTACGTGTCAACATGTTAAGCGCCATATAGGCCTTTGCTTCCGATTTCAGCCTGCTTTACTTTTTGGATTTGCTTCCAAGAACAAACTACAAGGCAGCAGTTGGAGTTGTCCTTCCTAGAAGAGTTGCTGTCCCCAGCTATCGAGCCTCTCTTCATGAGAGGTTCGAACTCGAGACTTCTCGGTTTAGCAACCAAGAGCTTTACCGACAAAAAAAATAGAGAGAAACCCTTGTCTTTTTATAGTTGCCGTGACAGCGATACTCCAGTAGCGTAGCGAGGGGGGGGGGGGGGCGGGGGGACATATGTCCACGGGCGCCGACCTTAGGGGGCGCCAAAATGGGTTGGAAAAATAAATTGAAAGGTTGAGGGGGATGCAGATTGAAAGTTTGAGAGGAGGGGGGTGCAAATCGAAATCTTGAGGGGGGGGGGTGCAAATCGAAAAGTTTGTCCCCGGGCGCCGGGAAGGGTCGCTACGCCTCTGCGATACTCTCATCATTTTGTGTAACATTCGTGTTCAATTGTTGACAATTCAAACTCTACATGTTGTTCATGCAGCATTTGTTCTTGTACTCCAAGTTCATTTGAAAGTGAAAACATGAATGTGCCTTGTTGTTTAGCTTGATTTCCATATCCCCTATAGTGAGTGTCGATAATATCACTTAGCAGTGGCGTAGCGAGGTTGGGTGTCACCCGGTGCGGCACTTAATGATGTCACCCCCCAGAGGCGAAGCGACCCTTCCCGGGGACAAACTTTCAAGTTTTCGATTTGCAGCCCCCCCCCCCCCCCTCTCAAACTTTCGATTTGCACCCCCCCCCCCCCTTTCAAGTTTTTCTCTTTATATTTTGCTATTTTTTGCCTTGGTGTCACCCCCCTAAATGGTGCCACCCGGTGCGGTCCGCACCCCCCCCCTCGCTACACCCCTGTCACTTTGTCTAATGGAGGCCACCGAGATGTCCTTCTATCATATTGTTGACATCGATTAAACTCGTTGTTGTTGTTGTTATTGTTGTTGTTGTTGTTGTTGTTGTTGTTGTTGTTATTGTTGTTGTTGTTTTGCTTTTATTTTATTTGTTCTTATTTTTATTTATTTATTTGGATTGGGGTTTTTTTCTCCTTTTTTTTTTGTTTGTTTGACATAGCGGCCGTAAAAATAATTAAGAAGAATAATAAAAAAAAATGTTGCCGATAAAGCTTTTAAATAACGCAAGGCTATTTTAAACCACATGACCTAGTTCTGCCATTTTGTTTACATTTTGTGTAATAAAATGTATGCTAGCCTATCAAATGTCATTGTTTATGTCGCCATTACCACATTAAAATAAAATCGCTTTAGCCTTTTTAAAATAGTGAGCACAAATTGGTAAATTTTGTTTCGTTTCATTTCCAATAGCTAAACGTCAAATATATTTAATCCTTTTAAAAATCAGAAAAAAACGAACAGTCAGGATTTTATAACCGTATTAATTTTATTTATACCGCGCGTGATTTTTTAAATATTTAATGTACCTCTTGAATACCTTTGTGAATACTCTCGATCGGGTACATTATCTGTAGACTTAACGTGTATTTATACATGATACTTCTGTTTGTTTAGAAAATATCTACAAATAAATACCTTTAATAAAATAGTTATTATTGTTGAGTAAATTAGACTGAACTGACATGTCTTGATATGACCTAATGTATCTAGTGTTTATGACCTGACGGCACCTACTTAAAATGTCAGGTCTAAAAAAGACCTAACGTGAATCATATAAATGACCTAACAGCACCTACCTGAAATGATGTGTCTAGGTATGATCTAACTGGAATGCATTGTCTACATATGACCTACTTGAAATGCGGTGTCTAGATATGACCTACTTGAAATGCGGTGTCTAGATATGACCTACTTGAAATGCGGTGTCTAGATTTGACCTACTTGAAATGCGGTGTCTAGATATGACCTACTTGAAATGCGGTGTCTAGATATGACCTACTTGAAATGCGGTGTCTAGATATGACCTACTTGAAATGCGGTGACTACATATGACCTACTTGAAATGCGGTGTCTAGATATGACCTACTTGAAATGCGGTGTCTAGATATGACCTACTTGAAATGCGGTGTCTAGATATGACCTAACTGGAATGCATGTCTAGATATGACCTACCTGAAATGCTGTATCTATCTATGACCTACCTGAAATGCTGTATCTATATATGACCTACCTGAAATGCTGTATCTATCTAAGACCTACCTGAAATGCTGTATCTATCTATGACCTACCTGAAATGCTGTAGCTATGACCTACCTGAAATGCTGTATCTATATATGACCTACCTGAAATGCTGTATCTATCTAAGACCTACCTGAAATGCTGTATCTATCTATGACCTACCTGAAATGCTGTAGCTATGACCTACCTGAAATGCTGTATCTATATATGACCTACCTGAAATGCTGTATCTATCTTTGACCTACTTGAAATGCTGCATCTATCTATGACCTACCTGAAAAGCTATATCTATCTATGACCTACCTGAAATGCTGTATCTATCTATAACCTACCTGAAATGCTGTGTCCAATATCTCCAGCGTGAGTTCATCTCTGCTTCCAACAAGACGATGTGAGTACAACATCTCTGAAACAACAAGACGGTGTGAGTACAAAATCTCTGAAACAACAAGACGATGTGAGTACAACATCTCTGAAACAACAAGACGATGTGAGTACAACATCTCTGTAAAAACGAGAAACAACAACAGACTCAGTCACGGAGTGAACTAAAATTAGACATCGTTTTATCCTTTCTTTGATTGTTGGTTTATTAACGGAACAATTTGAGTTACTTGTCGGGAAAACGGCCTACGGGAAAACAACCTACGGGAAAACAACCTACGGGAAAACAACCTACGGGGAAAAAGGTTTTCTGGTGTCTTGTGAGGATTTGTCGTAGAACCCATTTAGGTTAATCAAGACCTGGGAACATTACGCTATAAACCATTGACCACTGTTACGTATTTTATAATGGAAAAAGATTGTAGTGACTTTTCATTGTTTTACTCTCTCTCTCTCTGGCCATTCCGGTTGACTGCAAGGCGATGTTGAGGGCGGTTTCTAAAAATATTTGAATTGATAAATTAATAAATTATTATTCAAGGCTTTTCAACCTCTTATATTCAATACAAAATTATGAAAATGAGTGTAATCGATGGTTCCCAAACAGATTTAAGTTTTTAAAATGTAACTATAATTTTATCACTTGCATATTTTTAAAAGATTTTTTTTAATTTAGTATATATATATATATATATATATATATATATATATATATATATATATATATATATATATATATATATATATCCTATTGGGTTTTTCCGAAAAAAATCTGTTTCAATAATAGAAGTAAATATAATTCTGGCATGTTTTTGAATAACTATCATTTCTAAAAATCTTTTAAAAATAAACCGGGAGTGATCTCCCCTAAACTTTCTCGAATATTCTTATATAAAATAACAGGGGATGGGAACTCGGGCTATAGACATGATTTTTAATCCATTTTAAATACTTATAGTTTTAAAAATAGAATAAAATCTCGTAGACAAATTAATTGCACACCAAGTGAACGCGAAATAAAAAAGCGCATAATAGTGCGCAATATTATTATTACTTTTAAAATTTACATTAGTTTTTTGAGAAATCGGAAGTAGCGTAAAGTACTACTTCCAGTCAACGGAAATGACTCAAAATTTAATAGAAGGTAGAGAATTAGATCTTTTACTTACGTATGAAATTTCATTTATCTATCTGAAATAGTACTCAAGTTATAGGCTTTTGAAAAATTCAAAGTAGGAAAAGTACCACTTCCGGTTATCGGAAATCGCTCAAAAGTTGATACGGATCTACGATTTTGATAAAATACTTATATATGAAATTTCATCAACCTAGCTGTAACGGTACTCAAGTTATCGTGTTTACACACGGACACACACACACACAGACACACACACAGACACACAGACATACGGACAAGATTGCAAAATTTTGTTTTTCCGTATCAGTGAGATGCAAAACGTCGAGATTTGCAAAAATCTCGATTTTTTTTTTTTTGCACGATTACAAGACTTTCTCTATACTTCGTATATACGAGAAAGTAAAAAGGTTAATATGTTTCTTTCTTGAGAAGAAAAAAAGAGGTGTAATGATTTGTATCGGTGATGTTGCATAGAAAAACATACATCTAATGTCCTTTTATTAGTAAAGGCCGATAACGATAATAGAAAAATATTTCCTAGACAACATCACGACACATTCGTGCCGAATGTAAACTTTTCGCGTGTGTTTTTAGCATGGTTTATTTTTTTAGCAGGCATTCAGCACAAATTGATAAATTTTGTTTCGTTTCATTTCCAATTCAGCCTGTAGCACTTTTTGTTTTTTAGATTTGATTCGTGTTTCTGGCAAGCGGCCTGGCAAGTTTACCCGTGGGTCAAATATTTGATGTACTTTGGTTGTAAATTAAATTGTAAAAGCAGGTTTTTTCATCGGCGTTCGGGTGTAAAGGGTAAAATAGATTACGTGTAAGAATTTAATAGATTACTTGTATACAGGAAATAGATTACGTGTAAGAATTTAATAGGTTACCTGTATACAGGAAATAGATTACGTGTAAGAATTTAATAGGTTACCTGTATACAGGAAATAGATTACGTGTAAGAATTTAATAGGTTACCTGTATACAGGAAATAGATTACGTGTAAGAATTTAATAGGTTACCTGTATACAGGAAATAGATTACGTGTAAGAATTTAATAGGTTACCTGTATACAGGAAATAGATTACGTGTAAGAATTTAATAGGTTACCTGTATACAGGAAATAGATTACGTGTAAGAATTTAATAGGTTACCTGTATACAGGAAATAAATTACGTGTAAGCATAAAAATGGATTGCGTGTAAGCATGTAAGGGATGACGTGCTAGCCGTACGGTACGTAAGATTCCGTAAACTTTGTACGAATAAATCCCCTAAACACACACCAACACACAAACGATCCCGATTCAAACCTGCGATACCCCCCCCCCCCTATATGTAACAACAGAACACAAAAAATACTTCTGTATAACTTTGAAAACATTTTATCTACAAATCCAAATTTTAAAAAAAAATGAAAGTATTAGCTAAATTACTTTCTTTTTTATAGTTGTTATTTGTTTGAATATGATAAAAACCGAAAGTTATTTTTGTACTTATTTCACAAATGTTATAAAATATTCAGTTTGGGTTGAAAAATATGCTTTCTGGCAACAGCCATTTGGAACTGTTTATAAACAGCTTTTCAAGCCTATTGTTCTATGGACTTATCCATGTAATAGAGATAGTCGTTTGGATCTATAACTATATAACCCTTCTTAGACTACCTAGCCAACCACCCAACCGACTGTACACCAGCCAGCCAACCCTACCTACGCCACCCACCCAACCAACCCTACTTAAAACACCAAGACAAGCATAAATGAGATCTAGCATGCACTACAATAGCATCGAATAACTTGATTTTTACATCGAGTGCTTCTTATGTCAGCGGGACTTACCAATATTAAGTCAGCAGTCTCGTAAAAAATTGTGTTAACGTTTACAGCTGTTTTTAAAACATTTTTACAGAATTACAGCCAGTTTCTTTAAGATAAAAAAGCGAATCTGCTGTTGTTGTTTTTTTTAATTTGACACACGGACAAGAAAAACAGATTATAACATTCACCGAAAAAAAAAACTAAACAATTTGACATCCATTAGGGTGAAGCTCTAAAAATGCATTCGTTGCTTGACTAAAACACATAACTTATTTAACCCAAGACTAATAGAAGTGTCTTAAAAACTAAAGTTATCACACATCCTAATTCTAGCTTTTACAATAGAAATTAAAACAATTATTTAGTTATTTATATATCTGGTATTTGATTGAATTGATTCAGTGGCTCATTGGGTGAGGGCCAGGTATGTGTGTATGTGTGCATGTGTGAGAGTGTATGTGAGTAAGAAAGTGTGTGTGCGTGAGAGAGTGTGTGTGTTAGTGTGTGAGCTTGTGTGTTAAATGAGGTGTGTAAGCCAACAGACTGTTTTAGTTTTCAGAGTTTGGACGTGTATTTTGTTTTGTGTGACTCGATAATTAAACTTTCGTCATGAGATAATTTGTAGAGCAGGCACCAAAGAAAAGTGACATAGGTTGCTGTGTAGGTTGATGCTGAAAGTAGATTAGTTTATGTAGGTTGGTGCGGAATGAAGGTTGATTTAGGTTGGTTTTGTAGGTTGGTATTGTAAGTTGGTGCTGAATTTAGATTAGTTGCTGTAGGTTGGTGTTGTAGGTTGGTGTTGTAGGTTGATGCCGTGGGTGGGCACTTTTGGTGTCACCAAATTCCACTCACCACATAGCCAATTCCTAACGAAAAACAACACGTTTCGATGTTTATTTTTATCGGTTACAAAACATCCTAAATTAATTTACTGCCCCCCCCCCCCTCGCCCCCAAGTCCAATCATAAAGTCAGTCTTACCCCCCCCCCCCTCCCAAATCAAACTCCTTCCTAATTACGTAACCTCTATTATGTTCGACTCATGTCATCGCTATCTGCAGCTCTAGTATTGCTAAATCAACATTGCTAATGGCCTTAAGGTTTATCAAGTAGACAACTTTCAGTACCGGTTTATATTATTTTTCATGTCATAAGAACGTTTTGGATGTTTGAGCAGCGAGATTGTGAAAACAATCTATAGACACATGCAGAAAAATGGTGCTTTTCGTTTTTTTGTAGGTTCCTGGGGAGTTTTTTTTTAACTGCAGACGTCACGCCAATGTTGTGTTAAAGATGGTGGAACAAATCAAACTTGCGCTCTGTTTGACTCGGCGATGAAAGAAGTTTTGTATTTTCTTAACATTGGTGCTTGACAGAAGGTCAGACAGAAGGTGGAGGAGGGGGGAGGGGGTAATAGTGAGGTGTGAGTGGGGGTGGGGAGTAATAGTTAGGGGGATGGTAGGGGGAGGGGGAGGAAGAGGATGGGGAGATAATTGCTACGGAGTAAGGCCAGGGTTGTGTGTGTGTGGGGGGGGGGGGGGTAATAGTGAGGGATGTGGAGGGGAGTGGGGGAAGGGCTAGGGAGTAAGGCGAGGGGTGTCGGGGTGAGAGATTGGGAAGAAGTATAAGGGAGGTAACAGGGCTGTGGGGGTAGAGGGGAGTGGTTTAAGCTACCTGAAAGGTGAAGGTTAGATGACAGTGTGGAGGGAGGAAGTGAGAGAGGTGGGAGAGTTCAGTTGAGAGGGGTGTGGGGTGAGGGGTGAGAGGGGTGGGTGGGTCACCTTAGTGGTGAAGAAGAGGTTACAGGGGTGGGGCAGTGAGGGGTGTGGGAGTTTGCAGGGGTGCTAGAGTCAGGTGAGATTCTGTTGAGTGGGGTGGGCGGTCAGGTGAAAGTTATGAGAATATGAAAGGTGAACTCCGAATTAAATGCTGATGTGAAAACAACAAGATTACTTGGGGTGTTTGAATTGAATATCTTTACTCATTATTTCTATATTGGATTATAGGATACAAGTTGTAAAATGTGACTCAATCATAATCCTATCCTAATCTCTATCTGTCTCTAT